ACTACCCACTGGGAAACACTGACACACTTTATGTCCATCACAGAGAAGATCTCTTGCTTAATCCCAGGTCTTGATACACCAATGCAGGTCTGGCCTTGATTCTGGCACAAACCCCTCATTGCTGCCATGTTATTTTGGCTGGACATCAGTTGCTCCTGACCCTCACCATCTTCCAGCCCCATTTACAGATCCGCTCAGGCTGCTTATTGTCATCATCATTTTCACATCTCAGAGCTGAACAAACAACTCCAGTCTACACCAACCAGGGCAGAGAGGCAGAATTCTCCCCCTCACCTTCTGCCCATGCTGCGGGCATGACCACAGGACATGGGGAGTTTCTGGTAAGCTCATTCACGTGGTAGGGCTGGTACTGTTCTTTATCCACCAACACCCCAAGGCTTTCTCCTCTGGGCTGCTCTCAATCCACACATCAACCAGTCTACAGCCTTGTTTGGAATTGCTCCAAACCAGATTCTGGACCTAACACTTGGCTTTGTCAGCTTCATGAAACTGACAATATCCCACATTCCCAACCTGTTCTAATCCCTCTGAATGCCATCCCTTCCCTCCAGACAACCAACCTCACTACTCAGCTTCGAGTGGTCCCTGCTTTTGCTGACCACCCCACAAAATCCCAGGACCCCGACTTCTGACAATGATTCAAAATTATAACAATCTCAGCGTGAGTCTCTGTGGGTCACCACTCACCCCGGCTCCCCTCACAGGGACATGCAGCCACTGACCACAACTCTTTGAGTGAGACCATCCCACCCATTCCTTCACCACCAAATGGTCCAACCAACACCCAGATCTCTGCAGCTTAGAGACAAGGATGTTGTCTGGCACAGGAACAAAGGACTTGCACAAGTCCAGGTGCAGGATACTGGCACCTCTTCCCTCATCCACCAATTTTGGGGTGAATACCAAATCATCAAAGCTGCTGACAAGCTCAGATGGGCACGGCCTTCAGAGCGGGACATGGAATTGCAGAGTTGTGCGAATCAAAGTGTTCCCAACCTCGTAATTCACCCGGCTGGGCCAGGCAAGAACACTGGGCTCAAAAATGCCCCAATGTCATGGGCAATGGCTGTCCCAAACCTTCAGCCATGGATTATCCTTGAGGCCATGCCCTGGGTATCCCTCACCTCAGTCTTGTCTTCCTTGTTCCCAGTACCCCAGAGATTTACAGAGTTCTCCAAAATCATCAGAGCAGAGCAGGGGCAGAATCTGCTGCACCTGGACTTAAACAATCCCAACCATGCAGAATAAAGGCTGGGTGATGAGGGGATTGAGCCCAAGGAGGAGCACTTGGGGGGCTGGTGGATGAAGTATTGGACATGCCCTGCCATGTGAATGCACCAAACAGAAACTCCTCTGTGTCCTGGGCTCATCCCCAGAGCGTGGGCAGCAGGTGAGGGGGGGATTCTGCTCCTCTGCTCCACTCTGGTGAGACTGGAGATGGGAGTTCAGATCTGGAAATGAGGAAGACATGGACCTGCTCAGACAGAGCTGGAGATCGCCCTGGATGACAATGACAGGCAGGAGCAACTGGTGTCTAGAAAAATTGCACACAGCAACCACGAGGGGCTTGTGCCAGAGCCAGCGATAGACCTGCAGTGGTGTGTCCAGGTTTGTCTTTCAATAGCTGAAGGTTTCAGGAGATAATGCAACGGAAGAGCAAAATATGTCAGTGAGCAAAGGAAATGCAGAAATAACACCTAAGAGTGATCTTGTTGCATTTTTTCACCCACCCCAGGGGCCGCTACAAGCCTGGCCCAGTGCTGAGTGAGACTGGAAGAAGCTTGGGAGAAGAATGAAGGAGTCATCTGAGGTAGTGATGCAAGAAATCTTTATTGAGGTAGCAGAGTGAAAACTCAGGAGCAGCCAGGGGAAGGGAACTGGTCTGAGGTGCAAGCAGGCCGAGCATTAGCCAAGGCCCCTTCCTTTGGCAAGGTTTGGCCAGAGCACCGAGGCCTTCCTGCCCTGCCACGGCAGCAGCCCAGCAAAGCTGCCCGAGGGTCTCTGGCTTGGGAGAAGGGGTTTGTCCAGAGGGAAATGGACAGAGCAGAAGGGACCATGCAGAGCAGGGAGCAAGAGAAGAGCAGGAGGCAGATGGGCCATGTTTGGGGACAGCCCAGGCTGGCCCCTCAGCTACTGCCTTGCTTGGAGCCCTGAGAGCAGGAGCTGGAAGTGCTGAGCCCGTTTCAGAATCTTGTCCCAGAGATGTGTCCTGGGAGATGAGTTCCAGGGAGTGGGTGGTTGGTGTCAGGGGTGGTGCTGAGGGCCCTTAGCAGATGTTGCCATAGCCCCTCCTGCCATAGCAGGCCAGGCCTCCCAGCCCATTGCCGAGGCCGTAGCCACCAAAGCCACCAAATCCGCCAGAGATGGGCTGTCCCTGCACACTGAGCTCAGTGCCCACGGCAGCGGAGGAGGTGGATCCGACGGCGGTGCTCTGGGGGAAGGAGGTCATGATGGGTCCTGGCAGGGTGACCAGCACAGGAGAAGGCTGAATAACAACTCGGGAATCCTGGCATTGCAGGGCACAGGGCTCGTTGCAGCTGTTGGCCAGCGGGGTGGGTCCACAGGGAGTGCAGCGGTTGTAGCAGGCCATGGGTGTGGTGTGGAAGGTGCCTGGAAGAGAGAGCGGGGTGAGGAAGGGCAGGAGTGAGGGATGCAAGGGGCAGTGAGGGAGTTTGGAGGCTGTTGTGGGGCTGTGGGGAGGCCTGAGGGGTGCTGGGGGTGGTGCTCAGCGTGCTGGATGAGAGGAGTCGGGTGCAGGAGCAGGAGGGTCAAGGGATTGAGGCTCACCTGGTTCTTGGAAGAAGCAGGAGCGGATGGAGTCTGGAGAATTGTGTGAGGTACAGAGGGCTCTTGGATGGCTTTTATGTGGCTCCTGGAGGGGCGGGACAGCCGTGTCCCATGGCCTTGGGGCAATTTTGAGACAGCAGCACTTGCCTGGCCCAACCTGGTGAGTGAGGAGGTGGGGAATGTTTTCCTTCATGCAATACTGCAATTCCATGTCCTGCTCTTGAGGCCATGTCTATCTGACCTTGGAGGCAGCTTTCTGTCAGGAGTTGGTATTTGGGATGATTTGGTTGTTCAGTGTTTATCAAGGAAGGCTGAATAAACAACCAAAACTCTGGATATTTGCAATGCTATCAGTGAGGTCATTTTCTGGTGTAACTCATGTGCTGTGGTTTGTGGGTGCCTTGTGAAGACTGGGACTCTGTTCTGTGCCACTGGATGTCCATCAGTCATTGTGTTGCACCCAGGAATGCTGAGGGAGCTGCTGATATCCTGGGAAGGTCACTCTACAAAATCCAGGAAAATTCTGGAGCCTGGGAGTGTTTTCTGATGGATGACAGAGAGCTCCTGGCCTTGTGTCTTGAATGGGGTCTATGGACTAGATCTGGTAAAAGTGAGGCTGTTCAGGCTGGATTTGTTACAGTGTTATGGTCCATTTGGATTTCCGGGATTTCAACAACAACCTAATCTGTCATTTAAAATGTATTTCTTGACCTCTGTCAGAAATTTAAGAAATGAACAAAAAACAGGACCCGTCCCTTTGTTCCCAGGCTTCTCTGTGACGTCAATACATTTATTCCGCATTCAAGCCGTAAGGTTTCACAATTTATATCCTCTGAGTCTTGGCATTATGTTCCTCTTAGCAAATAACCATTAGTTACCAACGGATGGTCAACAACCTCCTCTTTCCTTCTCTGCCATTACTTGGGCATTTCTTTGTGGAATTCTCAGATTCCACGTCCTTCTCTTGAGGCCGTGTCTATCTCACCTTGGCAGCAGCCTTTCAGTGTGCCTTTTGGAGATGAAATTTGAGTGTTGTGGGTGCAGGATGAAGACGTGACCAGAGCTTTGGAGAGCTGAGGCCACCCTGCAGCTCGGGCTTGCCGTGGTCTGTGGGTGTGTTGTGGGAAGTTCCCCCAGCCTCACTCAGCCCTGACAAGCTGCTCTGGGCTTTGCTGCTCTTCCAAGTACCCGGTGTTGCCCCTTCCACCCCTTGCCCTCTCTCCACGCAATGTCCCCAGCTGTCAAAGCCTGACTGGAGACATCACCTTTACCATCAGTCATGCTCTGAGGGTGTCTTGCTGTCCCTCTTCTCTGGGAGTTTTACAGGGATGGAAGGATTTGATATTCAGGAGTTTTGGGACCTTTCCTTGGGCTGAGTGTGGAGGAGCAAGATCAATTCTCTGGGCAATGTTTGATTGTCAGAAATATGGTTTCGTAATTGTGCATCATTTTTGGAGGAGAGTATTGCGCGATCCTCAACAACCCAGGCAAGTCCAGGTGTCCAGTGTGGTGGCCTGAGAAGGATCTGAATGGCAGGACCCAGAAGGTTGAGGTCTGGGATGTCCGCAAAACAGGCAGAAGCTGAGAGAGCTGGGAGTTCTTTCAGGCAGGACCCAGAATACAAATGGGACATGTTCCCAATGTGCCATGGAATGACCTCAGATGACCCCTGAGTTCTCCTCAGCTTTGGCGGAACCTTCTACGTGCCCTGACACGCGGCACCAACAGCCACACACTGCTCTCTAATTGTGGCAGTTCAGAGGAGCCGCCAAGGTCAGATGGACACAGCCCCAAGGGAAGGGCGTGAAACTGCAGAACTCCAGGAAGGAGAACACTCCCCACCTCAGGACTCACCAGGCTGGGCCAGGCAAGAGCTGCTGCCTCAAAAATGCCCCAAGGCCATGGGACAAGGCTGTCCCGCCCCTGCAGGAGCAGCATAAAAGCCGGCCCAGGGCCTCTCTCCCCCACACACTTCTCCAGACTCCATCCGCTCCTGCTTCTTCCAAGAACCAGGTGAGCCTCAAACCCCTGACCCTCCTGCTCCTGCACCTCTTGGGTCCTCTCTTCCAGAACCCTCAGCCCCAGCCTTGGCAGGCCTCACGCCTCCCCACAGCCCCACAACAACCTCCACACTCCATCACTGCCCCTTGCACCCCTCACTCCTGCCCTTCCTCACCCTGCTCTCTCTTCCAGGCACCCTCCACACCACACCCATGGCCTGCTACAACCGCTGCACTCCCTGCGGACCCACCCCGCTGGCCAACAGCTGCAACGAGCCCTGTGCCCTGCAATGCCAGGATTCCCGAGTTGTTATTCAGCCTTCTCCCGTGCTGGTCACCCTGCCAGGACCCATCATGAGCTCCTTCCCCCAGAACACCGCCGTCGGATCCACCTCCTCGGCTGCCGTGGGCACTGAGCTCAGTGTGCAGGGACAGCCCATCTCTGGCGGATTTGGTGGCTTTGGTGGCTACGGCCATGGCTATGGGCTGGGAGGCCTGGCCTGCTATGGCAGGAGGGGCTATGGAAACATCTGCTAAGGGCCCTCAGCACCACCCCTGACACCAACCACCCACTCCCTGGAACTCATCTCAGGCTCTGAGGACACATCTCTGGGACAAGATTCTGAAACGGGCTCAGCACTTCCAGGTCCTGCTCTCAGGGCTCCAAGCAAGGCAGCAGCCAAGGGACCAGCCTGGGCTGTCCCCAAACATGGCCCATCTGCCTCCTGCTCTTCTCCTGCTTCCTGCTATCCATGGTCCCTTCTGCTCTGTCCATTCCCCTCTGGACAAACCCCTTCTCCCAAGCCAGAGACCCTCGGGCAGCTCTGCTGGGCTGCTGCCGTGGCAGGGCAGGAAGGCCTCGGTGCTCTGGCTAAACCTTGCCAAAGGAAGGGGCCTTGGCTAATGCTCGGCCTGCTTGCACCTCAGACCAGTTCCCTTCCCCTGGCTGCTCCTGAGTTTTCACTCTGCTACCTCAATAAAGATTTCTTGCATCACTACCTCAGATGACTCCTTCATTCTTCTCCCAAGCTTCTTCCAGTCTCACTCAGCACTGAGCCAGGCTTGTAGAGGCCCCTGGGGTGGGTGAAAAAATGCAACAAGATCACTCTTAGGTATTATTTCTGCATTTCCTTTGCTCACTGACATATTTTGCTCTTCCGTTGCATTATCTCCTGAAGCCTTCAGCTATTGAAAGACAAACCTGGACACACCACTGCAGGTCTATCGCTGGCTCTGGCACAAGCCCCTCGTGGGTGCTGTGTGCAATTTTTCTAGACACCAGTTGCTCCTGCCTGTCATTGTCATCCAGGGCGATCTCCAGCTCTGTCTGAGCAGGTCCATGCCTTCCTCATTTCCAGATCTGAACTCCCCTCTCCAGTCTCACCAGAGTGGAGCAGAGCAGCAGAATCCCCCCTCACCTGCTGCCCACGCTCTGGGGATGAGCCCAGGACACAGAGGGGTGTCTCTTTGGTGCATTCACATGGCGGGGCATGTCCAATACTTCATCCACCAGCACCCCAAGTGCTCCTCCTTGGGCTCAATCCCCTCATCACCCAGCCTTTATCCTGCATGGTTGGGATTGCTCAAGTCCAGGTGCAGTAGATTCTGCCCCTGCTCTGCTCTGATGATTTTTGGAGAACTCTGTAAATCTCTGGGGTACTGGGAACAAGGAAGACAAGACTGAGGTGAGGGATACCCAGGGCATGGCCTCAAGGATAATCCATGGCTGAAGGTTTGGGACAGCCATTGCCCATGACATTGGGGCATTTTCCAGGCCAGCTGCTCTTGCCTGGCCCAGCTGGGTGAGTCACGAGGTTGGGATTGCTTTGCTTCCCAGACCTCTGCAATTCCATATCCTGCTCCCGAGGCCATGCCCATCTGAGCTTGGCAGCAGCTTTGTTGATTTGGTATTCACCCCAAAATTGGTGGATGAGGGAAGAGGTGCCAGTATCCTGCACCTGGACTTGTGCAAGTCCTTTGTTCCTGTGCCAGAACACATCCTTGTCTCTGTGCTGGAGAGATGTGGATGTTGGTTGGAGCATTTGGTGGAGAAGGAATGGGCAGCATGATCTCACTCAGAGAGCAGTGGTCAATGGCTCCACATCCCCGTGTGGAGAACGGGGATGAGTGGCGACCCACAGAGACTCATGTTGGGATTATTTTAATTTTGAATCATTGTCAGAAATCCGGGTCCTGGGATTTAGGGGGAAGGAAAATCAGGGACCACTCCATGCTGAGTAGTGGGGTTGGTTGTCTGGAGGGAAGTGGTGGCATTCAGAGGGGCTGGAACAGGTTGGAAATGTGGGATATTGTCAGTTTCATGAAGCTGAACAAGACAAATTGCAAGATCCAGGATCTCTTTTGGAGCAATTCCAAACATGGCTATAGGCTGGATGATGAGTGGATTGAGGGCAGCCCAGAGGAGATAGCCTTGGGGTACTGGTGGATGAAGAACTGGAGCTGCCCCACCATGTGAATGAGCTGACCAGAAACTCCCTTGGTACTGGGCTCATGTCCATGGCATGGGCAGAAGGTGAAGGGGGGGAACTCTGCCCCTCTGCTCTGGCTGGGGTGGATTGGAAATTTGTGTTCAACTCTGGGACCTGAAAATAAGAGAGAGATGAAGCAGCTTGTGCAGATCTGTAAATGGGGCTGGAAGATGATGATGGTATGGAGCAACTGATGTCCAGCCAAAATGAACTCAGCGCCCATGAGGGGCTTGTGCCCGAATCAAGGATAGAGCTGCATTGGTGTATCCAGGCCTGGGATTAAGGATGTGAGGTTCTTCTCTGTGATGGACACAAAGTGTGTCAGTGTGTCCCAGTGGGTCGTGGAACTACAGAACCAATTCCACTATAGGTGTTGGTGCGATTTTCATCCTCCACAAATGACTTGTGGAGACATGGATTTGTGCCAAGTGTTGTTGGCACTCCTTTGCCAGAAAGAAGTTGGAGGAGACGTCTCAGTTTGCAAGGCAAGAGAATTTTATTGAGGCAAAAGAACAGTGAGACGACATGAGCAGCCAGTAGAAGGGAGCTGGTCTGAGAGGCAAGTAGGGCGTCCATCAGTCGAGGTCCTCTGATTACAGGAGGTTTGGCCAGAGCATCAAGGCCTTCCTGCTCCTTAGAAGCAGCAGCTGGATGGTGAAGGTTCCCAGTGGTCTCTGGCTTGGGAGAAGGGATTGGCAGAAGAAGGGACGGGATAGAGCTGAAAGGGAGTGGGAGATGAGCAGGAGGCAGATGGGCCATGTTTGCAGATATCCTGGACTGGCCCCTTGGCTGCTGCCTTGCCCTGGGACAAGATGATACCTAAAGGCATCCCTGGAATTGAAATTGTTGAGCCTGTTTAAGAGCTCTGGCACAGAAATGCATCCTCAATGCCTGAGATGAGCTCCAGGGAGTGGGTGGTTGGTGTCAGGGCTGGTGCTGAGGCCCTTAGCAGATGTTGCCATAGCCCCTTCTGCCATAGCAGCCCAGGCCTCCCAGCCCATAGCCAAATCCACGGCCATAGCCAAGGCCAAAGCCACCAAAGCCACCAAATCCACCAGAGATGGGCTGTCCCTGCACACTGAGCTCAGTGCCCACGGCAGCCGAGGAGGTGGATCCGACGGCGGTGTTCTGGGGGAAGGAGGTCATGATGGGTCCTGGCAGGGTGACCAGCACAGGAGAAGGCTGAATAACAACTCGGGAATCCTGGCATTGCAGGGCACAGGGCTCGTTGCAGCTGTTGGCCAGCGGGGTGGGTCCGCAGGGACGGCAGAGGCTGTTGCAGGCCATGGGTGTGGTGTGGAGGGTGCCTGGAAGAGAGGGAGGTGAGGTTAGAGAGGAGTGTGGGGGTGAGAGGTGCCGTGATGCAGCAGGTTGAGGGAGTGTGGAGGCTGTTGTGGGGCTGTGGGGAGGAGAGACGGAGGCTCAGGCTCAGGCTGAGGGTGCTGCAAGAGAGGGGCCAGGGGAGAAGGTGGAGGAGGGCCAGGGGATTGAGGCTTACCTGGTTCTTGGAAGAAGCAGGAGCGGATGGAGTCTGGAGAAGTGTGTGGGGGAGAGAGGCCCTGGGCCGGCTTTTATGCTGCTCCTGCAGGGGCGGGACAGCCTTGTCCCATGGCCTTGGGGCATTTTTGAGGCAGCAGCTCTTGCCTGGCCCAGCCTGGTGAGTCCTGAGGTGGGGAGTGTTCTCCTTCCTGGAGTCCTGCAGTTTCACGTCCTTCCCTTGGGGCTGTGTCCATCTGACCTTGGCGGCTCCTCTGAACTGCCACAATTAGAGAGCAGTGTGTGGCTGTTGGTGCCGCGTGTCAGGGCACGTAGAAGGTTCAGCCAAAGCTGAGGAGAACTCAGGTGTCATCCGAGGTCATTCCATGGCATATTGGTAACATGTCCCATTTGTATTCTTGCCTTCTGCCTGAAAGAACTCCCAGCTCTCTCAGCTTCTGCCCGTTTTAAAGGAAATCCCAGGCCTCAACCCCCTGTGGCCTGCCATTCCGATCCTTCTCAGGCCCCCACACCTGACCCCTGGACTTGCCTGGGTTGTTGAGGTCTGTGCAGTACTCTGTTCCAAAAAACCTAGTACAATTTCCAAACCCTCTTTCTGTCAAGCAGACATTGTTCAGAGACTGATCTTGCTCCTCCACAATCAGTCAGGTAAAGGTCACAAAACTCCTAAATATCAAATCCTTCCATTCCTGTAAAACTCCCAGAGAAGAGGGACAGCAAGACACCCTCAGAGCACGACTGATGGTAAAGGTGATGTCTCCAGTCAGGCTTTGACAGCTGGGGACATTGCGTGGAGAGAGGGCAAGGGGTGGAAGGGGCAACACCGGGTACTTGGAAGAGCAGCAAAGCCCAGAGCAGCTTGTCAGGGCTGAGAGAGGCTGGGGGAACTTCCCACAACACACCCACAGACCACGGCAAGCCCGAGCTGCAGGGTGGCCTCAGCTCTCCAAAGCTCTGGTCACGTCTTCATCCTGCACCCACCACACTCAAATTTCATTTCCGAAAGGCACACTGAAAGGCTGCTGCCAAGGTGAGATAGACACGGCCTCAAGAGAAGGACGTGGAATCTGAGAATTCCACAAAGAAATGCCCAAGTAATGGCAGAGAAGGAAAGAGGAGGTTGTTGACCATCCGTTGGCAACTAATGGTTATTTGCTAAGAGGAACATAATGCCAAGACTCAGAGGATATAAATTGTGAAACCTTACGGCTTGAATGCGGAATAAATGAATTGACGTCACAGAGCTGCCTGGGAACAAAGGGATGGGCCCCGTTTGTTGTTTATTTCTTAAATTTCTGACAGATGTCAAGAAATACATTTTAAATGACAGATTAGGTTGTTGTTTGAAATTAGGAAATCCAAATGGACCATAACACTGTAACAAATCCAGCCTGAACAGCCTCACGTTTCCCAGATCTGCTCCCTTGACTCCATTCGAGACACAAGGCCAGGAGCTCTCTATTATCAATCAGGAAACACTCCCAGGCTCCAGAATCTTCCAGCATTTTGCAGAGTGACCTCCCCAGGAGTTCCTTAGCAGCTCCCTCAGCATTCCTGGCTGCAACACAATGACTGATGGACATCCAGTGGCACAGAACAGAGTCCCAGTCTTCACAAGGCACCCACAAACCACAGCAAAAGAGTTACACCACAAAATGGCCTCAGTGATGACATTGCAAGTCTCCAGGGCTGTGGTTGTTTATTCAGCCTTCCTTGATAAACACTGAACAATCAAATCCTCCCAAATACCAACTCCTTAAAAAAAGTTGCCTCCAAGGTCAGATAGACATGGCCTCAAGAGCCAGACATGGAATTGCAGAATTGCATGAAGGAAAACACTCCCCACCTCATGACTCACAAGGTTGGGCCAGGCAAGTGCTGCAGCCTCAAAAATGCCCCAAGGCCATGGGACAACGCTGTCCGCCCCTCCAGGACCAGCATAAAAGCCGGCCCAGAGCCCTCTGTCCCTCACACACTTCTCCAGACTCCATCCGCTCCTGCTTCTTCCAAGAACCAGGTGAGCCTCAATCCCCTGACCCTCCTGCCTCTGCACCCGACTCCTCTCATCCAGCACGCTCAGCCCCAGCTTCTGCAACCTTCATGCCTCCCCACAGCCCCACAACAGCCTCCAAACTCTGTCACTGCCCCTTGCAACTCTCACCCCCACCCTGCATTATCTCCTTCTCTTCCAGACACCCTCCACACCACACCCATGGCCTGCTCCAACCGCTGCACTCCCTGCGGACCCACCCCGCTGGCCAACAGCTGCAACGAGCCCTGTGCCCTGCAATGCCAGGATTCCCGAGTTGTTGTCCAGCCTTCTCCCGTGCAGGTCACCCTGCCAGGACCCATCATGACCTCCTTCCCCCAGAACACCACCGTCGGATCCACCTCCTCGGCTGCCGTGGGCACTGAGCTCAGTGTGCAGGGACAGCCCATCTCTGGCGGATTTGGTGGCTTTGGTGGCTTTGGCTATGGCGGTGGATTTGGCTATGGCCTGGGAGGCCTGGGCTGCTATGGCAGAAGGGGCTATGGCTCCATCTGCTAAGGGCCCTCAGCACCACCCCTGACACCACCAGCTCTGGGCTCTGGCCACAGCTCCTGCAAGCAAAGCACCTCGGCTGATGGTTGCCCTGCTTAAAGCTCACTCTGGATCCCTTCCATTTCATTTTCCTGTCTCCTTGTTCTTTTGCGTCAATAAAGTTTTTCTGCATCAAAGCCTGAGATGCCTCGTCTTCCTTTTTGAGTCCCATTGGTTTCACATCCTCACCCAGCACAGTGCCAGGGCTCAGCAGGACTTTGGTGAAAGGAAAAGGGGCCCCAGACTTTTCTCTTGGAAATATGTCAGCAATATTTGACAGAACCGCCACCACTATTAATAAACAAGACCTGCACATGAAGCAAAGGACGGGGAGAACCTTCCAAAATATTTTACAATCCAAACACCTTCTATACCAAAGGCTTTGACAAATTAATGCTCTTCTGCTCAAATTTTCTCTCTGCCAGCACACAAAATCTCTTCCCAGCAGGACCCCCAAGCCCTCTGAACAAACACTCAGAGAATTTTCCACTTGGGCAGGAGCTCTGGAGTGCAAGCGCTTCATTCCCTGCAGCTCACGCAGGCCCAGAGAGAGCAGAGTTTCCCAGCACCATGGACAGTTCATGTTTTGATTTCCCAGCAGCCTCCACCTCCTCTTCCCCTCCGTGACCAACCTCACACTGAAAAATCCGTGCTTTCTTTTCCCACAGAATTCCATGTTTGTGACAGTGTTCACAGGGGTCCGAGGATGAGGGAAGAGACAAGGATCTGACTCCATGTTTCAGAAGGCTTGATTTATTATTTTATTATATGTATTATATTATAACTATACGAAAAGAATAGAAGAAAGGATTTCATCAGAAGGCTAGCTAAGGATAGAAAAAGAAACAATAATAACAAAGGTTTGTGTCTCGGACTTTCTGTCTAAGCCAGCTGACTGTGATTGGCCATTAATTAGAAACATCCAACATGGACCAATCACAGATCCACCTGCTGCATTCCACAGCAGCAGATAACCATCGTTTACATTTTGTTCCTGAGGCCTCTCAGCTTCTCATGAGGAAAAATTCTCAGGAAAGGATTTTTCATAAAAGATGTCTGTGACACATGTTTTCTCTTTTCCCGTTTCCCTCTTGTCCTCCACGTGTGCCCTGCAGAGAACAGCAGAGCTCCCTTGGCTTCATCCTCTGCCCTCAGAGATGCACACACAGATGGCTGGGAGGTCTCTCAGCCTCTCCTCTAGGAAAGATCCTCCTTTAGAGCATTTCTGGCTCTGAAATGGTCTTGATTCACTAAATCAATTTCATTTTCACACTGGGGTGGCCAGGACTGCCCACGACCCTTCACATGTGACCCCACCAGTGCTAAACAGACAGCAAAAGTCACCTCTCCCTGCTTGCTCAGTATTCCAGATCCTGGATGCTTGAGGTGCCTGCTCCCAAAATGCTACAGGGACATCTCCTGGTCCATTTCTCCTCCACCACAACCACAAAGGCTTTTCTGGAGAAGAAAACAATTGTTCCAACTGAGACTCAGACATTTTATCTCATCTGGGATGACTGACTCCCCTCATCAAGAATCAGGGCTTGGCTCCTGTCCTTGCTGAGCTCCAGCAGATGCCCAGGACCACTCAGGTTTTCAGTGTTGGCCAAAAAGATCCAATTTTTGGATCCTGGGGATTTGCTGCCATCTGGACTTTTGGACACTGACCACAAGCCTCTGGGCCCAGCCCTTCTGAGCCTTCTCAGACCACTGACACAACCTGGACTTGCCTGGTTGTTGAGGATCATGCAATGCTCGCCTCCAACAACCCTGGGCAACCTCCAAATCCTCATTCTGACCATCAAATACTGCCCAGAGAAGTGTCCTCACTCAGCCCAAATTGGGACCTAAAATACCCTGGACATCAAAACTGTAAAATCAACATAGAAGAGCACAACTAATATAAAAGTCAAGGTTTAATGTCAGGGTTTGCCAGACTGGGGAAATGCGGAGAAAGAGGGAATGTGATGGAAGGGGCATCATTGTGGGAACCCAGAACATCCCTCTGGCAGTCCAGGATGGCCAGGACCCCTGCCAGGGAGCTCAGAGGCCCTGGAACGGAGCCCAAAACACCTTTGGTTTTGATTATCATCTGTGGACCAAATTACCAACCTTATATGAAGACCAGCGAGCCACAACAGTTTAAGTAGAATAATAATGAAGTTATCATGAGGTGAAAAAGTAGATTTTGGGGTTTCTGGTATGGGGGTTCAGGAGGCAGGATGGAGGGAACTGGGCATGTCCAGCCTTTCTCCTTCTTCTTCTTGGCCTCCATCCTCTGCTGTGATGGTGGCACTTTTGGATTGGTTTAGAGTAGGAGCTCACTGTCTAACATAGGTGATAGGTATTGGAAAGTAATTGTAAATATTGTACATGTAGTTTTTAGTATAAAGACATAACATAAAGACATAACACCACCTCAGGGGCAGGCAGTGTGCCTGGAACTGTCCTGCTGGGCAGACCTCGGCAGGGCAGGAGAAAATTTTTTATAGATAAGATACAATAAACAGCCTTGAGACCGAGAACCGAAGAGCCCTGACTCCTTCTTCAAGCGCCAAGCTGGGAAAAGAGACTTTCTAACTTTTCTCGGGGTCACTCTGATAAACTAGAGATCCCGACACAGCACCAGGTACTTGGAACAGCTGCAAAGCTCAGCCCGGCCTGACAAGGCTGAGAGAAACTGGGGACAACTCTTTACAACACACCCAGAAAGCCACAGCACACCAGGGCCACGGGATGACCTAAATGATGACACTCCAGCTCTCCAAAATCCTGGTCACGTCTTCGGCCTGCCCAGACAAGAACCATCAGCAGCAGGATTTGGTTGCTGTAATTTGCAATTAATTAAAAGCTGCCACCAAGGTCAGGTGGGCATGGCCTCAAGAGAGGGACGTGGAATCACAGAATTTACTAAGACACGCTGGAACCATGAGAGGGGAGGGGAGAGGACCACGCTGGTTGTCTGTTAGTAATTATTGCGTTTTGCTCAGAGGGACACAATGTTAACATTTATAGAACAAAAGTTATGAAACCTCGTGGCTTGAATGCGGAATGAGAGAATCGAGGTCACAGCCCCGGCAAAAAGGGATCAGGTTTGTTGTTTGTTCACTGGATTTCTAAACCAGGTCAAGGAATGCACTTTAAATGACAGCGAATGCTGTCTTGTAAATTTGAAAAATACAAATGGAAGCAAACATTGGAACAAGCTCAGCCCGACTGTGCTCTCGTTTTCCAGATTGTCTCTCGATCCCACTCAAGACACAAGGCCAAGAGATCTCTTTCATCCATCACAAGGAACTTCCAGGCACCAGGACCTTGCCAAGCTGTTCCAGAGTGACCAGCCCAGGAGCTCCTCAAAGCTCCCTCAGCATTTCTGGATGGACACAATGACAGATGGACATCCAGCAGCACAAAACAGAGCCCCAGTCTTCACAAGGAACCCACAAACCACAGCGCTCGAGTGCCACAAAATGATCTCACTGATGACATTGCAAATCTTCAGGGCCCTGGTTGCTTATTAAGCCCTCGCTGAAACACATTGAACAATCACATCCACCCAAACACCAAATTATTAATGTTCCTGACAAGGTCAAATGGACACAGCAACAAGAGCTGGACACGAAACTGCAAAATTGTGGGAGGGAAAACATTCCCCACTTCATGACACACCAGTAACAAAAGAGCTGCTGCCTAAAAAATACCTCAAGGCCATGGGACAAGGCTGTCCCACCCATCCAGAACCTGCATAAAAGCCAGCCCAGAGCCTCTCTCCCTCACACACTTCTCCTCAAGCCTTCTCCTCCTGCTCCTGCACACAACCAGGTGAGCCTCAATCCTCTGACCCTCCTGCTCCTGCAACCCCGGCCCCTCTCCTCCAGCACACTCAGCCCCAGCCTCAGCAGCCCTCACACCTCCCCATAGCCCCACAACAGCCTCCACACTCCATCAGCATTCTGCATCACTGCCCTGCCTCACCCCTCTCTCTTCCAGGCACCCTCCACACCACACCCATGGCCTGCTACAACATCTGCCAACCCTGCGGACCCACCCCGCTGGCCAACAGCTGCAACGAGCCCTGTGCCCTGCAATGCCAGGATTCCCGAGTTGTTATCCAGCCTTCTCCCGTGCTGGTCACCCTGCCAGGACCCATCATGACCTCCTTCCCCCAGAGCACCGCCGTCGGATCCACCTCCTCGGCTGCCGTGGGCACTGAGCTCAGTGTGCAGGGACAGCCCATCTCTGGCGGATTTGGTGGCTTTGGTGGCTTTGGCTATGGCGGTGGATTTGGCTATGGGCTGGGAGGCCTGGGCTGCTATGGCAGAAGGGGCTATGGCAACATCTGCTAAGGGCCCTCAGCATCACCCCAGACACCAACCACCCACTCCTTGGAATTCATCTCAGGCTCTGAGGACACATCTCTGGGACCAGATTCTCAAATGGACTCACCACTTCCAGCTCCTGCTCTCAGGGCACCAAGCAAGGCAGCAGCCACACTGTCCCCAAACATGGCCCATCTGCCTCCTGCTCTTCTCCTGCTCCCTGCTCTCCATGGACCCTTTGTCTCTGTCCATTCCCCTCTGGACAAACCCCTTCTCCCAAGCCAGAGACCCTCAGACACCTCTGCCTGGCTGCTCCCACTGTGGGGCAGGAAATCCCCGATGCTCCGGCCAGGCCTGCTGCAATCAAAGGATCTGTGCTGATGTTTGTCCTGCTCCACCTCAGACCAGCTCCGTTTTATTTATTTCTCCTGCTTTTTACTTGTTTTTTTGCCTCAATAAAGTTTTCTTGCATCATAGGCTCACTTGACTCCTTTTCCTTTCTTCTCCCAAGAGTGTTCCAACCTCTCAGAGCCTGAATCCAGGTTTCCATTTTCCATCAGCTCCAACAGGCCTTGGGTTTGGTGTTCACTCTTTTTCCACTCATCCCAGCAGAGATGACCCTCCAAGGTGCCAAAATTTATTCAGGGA